TGGCGAGCCGCGGCGAGGCCAATGCGGTGTTCGACATCCTGGCCGTGCTGCAGGTAGGCGGGACGCGCATGGGGGCTGCGGCTACTCAGGCTTGAGACGGGGTTCAGGGTTGGGGTGCAAGGAGTGAAGTCAGGCTGGAGCGAAGTCACCCTGCCCGGCCTCCCCACGCAGTCTGAGGATCCGGAGGAAATCCAGGAAGCAATCCGCACGTGCAGCCGACTTTTCGGGGCTTTGTTGGAGCGGGGAGAGCTGTTTGTGGGCCAGTTGCTCCCCGAGGATACAGCCTTGGCAGGTGAGCGTCCTGGAGGGGTCTGAGGTACTTGCCTAAGGACTGGAGGAAGGCCTGGTCAACATGGGGTGAGCCCTCTGAGTCCTGTCATTGGCCCAGGTCGGTGGGAGGACAGCGAAGCCATGTTGGAAGCCGGTGAGATGGTGGGTCTGCAGCCTGAGCTAAAGGAAGGAGCGCAAAGTGTGGGCATTTGTGTTCTGACCTGTGGGTGTAGCGTGATACTAAACCTCACTTACAGCTGCATTCGTCTGTCACAGTCTTTGGGACATTCAGGTTTTAGGGCTAATGGAAGGGAAGGGACCCTCACCCTGGGCACTAGTCTGGGGCACAGACCTGCTCCCCCTATTTGCATGGCTCTGGGGATGGCTGGTCCCAGCCTGGATGGGGGACTGTAATGCCGGTTTCCATCCTGTAGACAGAGGGTGCTGCGGGGGTAGGTCTGACCTGGCTGTAACCACCGGCATGGGGTGGTCACCCTAACCCTGCCTGCAGGGTCCCATGGAGCCACACGCAAGTATAAGATCTGGATGAGACACCGCTATCACAGCTGCTGTAACCGCCTAGGTGAGCTCCTGGCCCACCCCACTTTCAAGATCAAGGTGAGTCTTGGTTTCGCTGGACTTGTCTCATTTTCATTTATCCCTGTACAACTACCTGTGAGGCTTTCCACAAAGTGAGCCCATGGCCGAGGTGTGGGGGTGTACTTTCTGCACGTAAGCTGCCGGCCTCCAAGATACATTCCCCACCCCACGCCCACACCTGTCTCACAGGCTGCTGTATCACGTCATGATGGGCATTACATTTGTACCCCTGGTTCTAGAACTGAGCCTTTTGGTCTGTTGGGCACCTCATTGGCCTGGTACACTTGAGCTTCTGTGTGTATCCTAAGGGTTTGTGTTGATGTCCAGAAGTTTGCAGTGGCATCTTCACAAACAAGCAGTAAGGGGTTAGTGTTATTAGGTCACAACATTGTCACTCCATCTTTTAGCCAGGGGCTCCCCTTGCTCTTGTCCTTTTGGTCGAGGCCTGGGCCTCACTATGAGGGGCTCCAGCTGGGGTGAGCTTTCTGGGTCACTGCCATCATGCTTCTCAGGAGCAGGCCCTCAAGACGCTCATAAAGTTTGTGCAGTTGGAAGGGGTGCACCCTCTGGAGAAGCCCAAGTGGGAAGGCCAGTACCTTTTCCCCCGCACACTCTTCAGGGTGAGGACCTGTCGCAGACCGGGGTGGCCTGGGAGTGGGCTGCATGAGCCAGTGATGGTGGGACATGACACTCCCCCTCACCCTGCCCTGGGAGCCTTGTGAGACTCCTGGGGGATCTTCCCTTGGCGCTGGACAGGGGCCTGGGGTGGTGTGTGGCTCACAGAACCCACATGGAGGCACTGGGCCCCACCGGAGGGAGAGTTGCTCATCCCATTCCTGCCCCGCAGGCGGTAGTGGGAAGCCTGCTCTCACCAGAACATGATCACAGCCTGCTGCTCTCCCAGTTCCGGGAATACTTGGAGTTTGATGACATCCGCTACCATGCCATGCAGGCAGCCTCCGATGCCGTGGCCCAGGTCACCGGCCAGCATCCCGAGGTGAGGACTAGCTTGATCACAGGCAGGTGGGTGGTGTGAGCCTCAGAGGTGCTCAGGCCTGGCTTCCTCAGGTGTCCCTTGTCTTCTGGAATAACGCCTTCAACCTGCTGTCTGCTGTGAGCCTGCCCCGCCAGGAGTGCGACGTCGCCAACTTCTATGTGAAGCACACAGGTGAGAGCTGGGAGGCTGAGGCGGTGCCTGGTGGAAGGGGAAGCAGCAGGGCCTCTGTCCCCTTGTGAGCTAGGTAACTGTTGACTCTGCACTGTCCCCACAGAGCCATCGGACACATGGAAAGTCATTCATCTGAAGGTGAGATGCATGAGGCCTAGGCAGCCTTCCTGGGTAGGTAGAGCTTATCCTGACCTGGGCCACTTCCACATGACACCTCCCAGTTGGTTTTATGTCAAGGGCCGCTCTTCCTTTCATCTTCGAGGGCTTTGTGTGCCCCTTTCTGTGCTGAGGCTCCTTCACCAGCAGGTCTGAGATCTGGTACTTTGTGGCCTGGCCTGGGGTCCTTAAGTCCAGAGCTCAGATAGAAAGGGGGTTGGGGGTAGAAGGGACCGGGCCAGCTGGGGCACACTAAGCAGCCTGGCCCCATTGCAGGAGCACAGGAAGGTGTTCCAGGCGATGTGGCTTGGCTTCCTCAAGCACAAGGTAGGTTCCTGGTGTGAGGCCGCTGGGTTTCAGGGGCTGGAGGAGGCTGGCCACACGCTGATTATTCATGCCCACCCCAGCTGCCCCAAAGTCTCTACAAGAAGGTCCTGGTGACCATGCACGACACCATCCTGCCTCACCTGGCCCAGCCCACCCTCATGATCGACTTTCTCACTAATGCCTGTGATGTGGGTGAGTGGGCATACATCTGCCAGGCTAGGATGTGAGCAGAGGTGGTGGATGAGGGTCTCTTGGCTGGCAGAGCCTGGACTCTTCCCATGTTCTCTTAGGATACAGCTTTGTGGCAAGTGGGCAGCTCCTGTTGCTACCTTTCCCAAACTGGACAGGGGGCAGATTGTGGGTGGGCAGCCACCTGGGCCTTGTGCCCAGCTGGGGTTGCTCTGGGCCTAGGATTCAGTCCCTCCTGTCTACAGGGGGCACCATCAGCCTCTTGGCCTTGAATGGACTTTTCATCCTGATTCACAAGCACAACCTGTGAGTGTGGCCCAGGGGGAAGGGGCTGAAGCCATGGTTCCTTGGGGCCCTGGTCTGTCTGCCCACTGCTGGCTCACCTGTGTGGTGCTGTGGTCTCCCTCTCTCAGGGAATACCCCGACTTCTACCAGAAGCTCTATGGTCTCCTGGACCCCTCTATCTTCCATGTCAAGTATCGGGCCCGTTTCTTCCACCTGGCTGACCTTTTCCTTTCTTCCTCGTGAGTGTCTGGGGAGCATCCTTTGTGTCAAGAGGGAAGCCCTGCCTGGCCTCTGAGCAGTGGGGCATGGGCTGCCCAGAGGTAGGATGAGGGGCGCAGCCTCAGTCAGGCCAGAGAGGAGGCTGCTGGTTTCTGATGGCCCCTCCCTGCCCAGCCACCTCCCTGCCTACCTGGTGGCCGCTTTCGCCAAGCGCCTGTCCCGCCTGGCACTAACGGCACCCCCCGAGGCCCTGCTCATGGTCCTGCCCTTCATCTGCAACCTGCTGCGCAGACACCCAGCCTGCCGTATCCTGGTACACCGCCCACAGGGCCCCGGTGAGTGGGGTGGGCCAGACGTGAGGACCCTCCTTGGCTCCGCCCTCCCAGGAGACGGTGGTAGACGGGCTGGATCTCACTCTAGAGCTGGATGCTGACCCCTACGATCCTGAGGAGGAGGATCCTGCGAAGAGCCGGGCCCTGGAGAGCTGCCTGTGGGAGCTGCAGGTGAGGGCCCTGTGCCCATTACCCGCTGTGACCACCATGGTCCCAGAGTGCTCCCCTCCCACCATGCCTGCTTCCCTGTGTGGCCCTGGTGATGCCTCATGCCCAGGCTCTGTGGGGCTCTGCACTCAGGCTGGGCATGGGTGCAGGCAGGAGGATGGGAGGCCTGAGGCCCTGGTGCATCCGGCCCACAGACCCTCCAGCAGCACTACCACCCTGAGGTGTCTCGAGCCGCTAGCATCATCAGCCAAGCACTGTCAGTCCCCGAAGTCAGCATCGCACCGCTCCTGGAGCTCACCGCGTACGAGGTGAGTGTGGGGCACCATCGGACAGGGTTCCATGTGCCAGTCTGGGCTGACGACCACCATCTTCTGCAGATCTTCGAGAAGGACCTGAAGAGACCGCTGCCCAAGTCAGTGCCTCTGGAGTTTGTCCCCACACAGGGCCTGCTGGGCTCCCAGGAGGATGTCTGTGCCCAATTCTTCATGCTCAGCTAACGTGGTCCCACCTTTCAATAAATGGTTTTGTAGGAGCAGAGTCTGCACCAGTGGAGAGGCGGGCAGAGCCACATGGGTGACGCAGGGTGCTGGCAGCCCTGGTGGTCCCTGCTGTGCAGTCAGCGCAGGGCTGGTGTGCAGCTGCCACCCTTGCTCTGGGATTTGCCACAGGTGCACAGGGCCCACAGCTGTGTCCCCCACCCTGCATATGTGGGACAGCCCAGCTTCCTGTGATGTTTCCTCTGGAGGTCCTGCGTGTGAGGACAGAGGCAAGGGCTGTCCCCATCCTGCCAGGCCCAGGCTGCTCCTGCCCACAAATCCCCTCTGTGCCCATGGTCCATGCCAAGGAGAGTGACCTGACTTTCTTCTCTTCTCTCATCTTCCCTGTTCCTTTCCTGTGGTCTTGAGGGAGCTGCTCTGAGCCAAGCATTTAGCGTGTGCCCCTGGGGACCTCAGGGCAGAGCAGTAGTGTGGCACAGGTGCTTTGGGGACACAAGGCTGGCTTCCTCCCCTGTCACCTTCCTCAATCAACACTCAGGCCAGAGTGGCTCCTGCCACAGAACCTTGTCACTACAACACTGCCCAGCCTGGCCTTTAGAGCCCCCCAGGGTCCCCTGTCAGCCTCTCACACTGTGCTCTGCTGCAGGGGCCTGTGCTCAGCTCTCCATGCTCTAGGTCAGAACAGCCCTGGGGCTGTGCATCCGACCCCGCAGGGCCTCAGACTCAAACACTGCTGGCAACCTGGGACTGAGGGGCTGGTGTCCTGAGCTTCTGCAGCTATGGGAGGCAGGAGAGCCTGAACAGCCCAGGCTTCAGGCTTTCAGGGACGGAAGAAGGTTGAAGTCTGGAGGTCACTGCCCTTCAGACACTGCCTCGCACACAGCCCTGCTCGTGTGTGGGCCGAGCCTGTGGGAACTGCTCCCCCAGTACCCTGCACCCTTCCCAGGTAGCACAGCAGCACTCTGCCTCTCAGAGTGAGCATGTCCGGGTGTTGCCGGTGTGGCTTTCAGAGGGTTGAGGCCAAGAGGCCCCCCACTCAGTGGCAGACTGGACAGCGGTCACTCCTCTGTTCGTCCATCACCTGTTGCAGCGGCAGAAGCAGCGCCTCTCTTCCCTGTCTGAGGGCACGAGGTGCTCACTGTGGCCTGGCACCCAGCCTCCCAAACAGCTGCTGCTGTGGGTTGAGTCAGGGCCCATGATGACCTCTCCTGTCAGTGCAGGGTCTGCCCTGGTGATGCTGCCACAGGCACAAGCTGTGAGGAACCTGACATCTGGCAGTGGAGGGTAGGGCAGGGCTGACCCAGGACCTCATCTGCTGCTCCCCCAGCTCCAGCCTCACCCCTGAGCCAGAGGGCCACAGAGCAAGTCGCCTTGGGAGCTTCATGTGCCACCTGCTGCCTCTGGGAGGCCCATGCCACTGCCAGTGTGAGGATGAGGCTGCAGCGTGGCCCAGGATGCGGGCTCTGAACTCTGGCATCTGCACCCAGTGCAGCAGCTCTCAGGGGTTGGAATACAGCCATTACCCTCACTGTGAGGATCAAGTGGGATTCATGGGCAGAAACTGCGTGAGCTGCTTTGTGACTCCCAAGACCAGGCTGGGCTTCAGGGATGTCTGGGAGAGGAGGTCCCTGCCGCAGCCTCCCCTGCTTCACCAACCCTCCTGGTCACCTCCATGCTGGGCCCCTGGTGTGAGTGCCTGTCTCTCATCAGGCACCAGGGACAGCGACTGCAGGTGGCTTGGTCGTCAGCACAGACAGCAAGAGCAGACTGATTGGGGAGACAATTTAGGAAACAGTGCTGGGTGTAGGGACACACGCTTGTGAACCCAGAACCAAGGAGGTTGAGGCAAGAGCATCTCTGAGTTCAAGGCCAGCCTTGAACACATACATAGTGAGACCTTGCCTCAAAAACAACGGCAGTTCTTCTTTATCCCAACCCTCAGAAAACCCTGGAACAAGTATCCTCCCCCCCCCCGTTGCTTTTTATTTTGTTCTTGTTTTTTGAGACAGGGTCTTGCTATTTAGCGAAGACTAGCCTCAAATTCTCAGCAGTCCTCCTGCCCCAGCCTCCAGTGTTGGAATCACCAGAGTGAACCATCATACCCGGCCTTGTTCTTTTTTTTATGGGCAAGGAACCAGGGATCTGGTGCCCACTCTCTGCAGTACCAGGTGCCTGTGCTGCCTGCACAGCCTTCCCTATCCTGGGTTGTCTCTTGCTCACCACGGGCCTGAGGACTGCAGAAGACCCTTGTGGGTTGGGTGTCCGTGGCTCCACCTCAGCAGACCTCGGCACCATTCCCCAGGACCCAGCTGAAGACAGCATGGCTGTGGATGAAGATTCATGGCACAGTGAGTGCTTTTATTAGGCTTAATTACGTCCTGAAGCTCCACTGGGAGTGGAGGGAAGGAATCCCTAGACTTGGGCTTCATGACCACCCAGCTGGCCCCATGCATCGCTCCCGGGCCTGGCCCTGAAGTCTGACTACAAATGAGCTGTTTTACACAAATGATGTGGATTTTTCTGAATTTACTGCAGAGCCGATTTATAATTGAACTGATGAAAGACGGCCTCATTAGGTTTATTCAACTCTGTTTGCTCTACCTGTGCCATGTAAAACAGCTGTTGTTTCTAAGGAAAGGTAAAACTAACTAGGTGGCCAGGCAGGAAGAAGTGGGACCCCTGGGTCTGCTCCGGACCCTGCTCCTCCCTTTGTGTGTGGGTTCAGGAATAGCAGTTAACAAAAGCTTATGAGAAAATGGAAACCACTGCACAGCCATGCTGCCATCCTTCCTTTTCTTTTTCCCCTTCCTTTTCTTGGGTCTGTTTCTGCACAACCTTGTTCTGAGCTGGACCCAGCGCAGGCTCTGGAGCCCCTGTGGCCACAGCCCAGCAAAGCTCGGGTGTGGGACCCACACAGGGCTCTGCACCGAGAGCTCCCAATGACTTTGGGGTCACCGCAGCCTCCTGATGTTTTGGGGTGATCTGAGCTGGAAGGAAGGCTTTCCTGGGCAAGGGCTGGCCAAAGCTCTGCTGAGACTGGAGAATGGGTTCCTGGCTCTGGGGGAGACAGAGAAGAGGTGCTGTGGGTCCCAGGGAAGAAGAGGCTGAGGTATGGGGGTTCCAGACCAGTGCTAGGTAGAGGCATGGGGTTGAGAAAGAAGAGTGGCATGTGAACTGACTGTCCAGGGTGTGCAAACACGATGGCCTGTGACAGGGCAGGATGGGCCACATGACTCTGTTCCTTTCCAGTCTTGTAGTGTGTGCCAGGCACGCAGCTGCCCTGAGGGAAACCTCATTCTGAGCCTCCTGCAGCCCTGATGCTGCATCCAGACCACAGACAGCCAAGATGACTGCTTCCATGGGTTCTTCTACTGCCAGACAGGGACACAGGCAGCCAGCACCCCTGGATGACACAGGGTGTACATTTTTCTAGAAGGCCAAAGAGGCAGTGTCTCTGGCTCTGGGGGCCCTGCAGCAACAGCCAGCTGTGCCTGCCACCCTGAAGTAGCTACAGACAATATGTGAGCCATGGGTGTGGCCATGTGCCAATAAAACTTTATTTAAAAAACAGGCAAGGGGCTGGGTGTCTTTCATTGGCCCCCTGCCACCGAGGGCAGGAAAGCATCAAGAGCTGGAGCCAGGGCTGAGGGTGGGGGGCAAAGCTGGGACCCTGGCCAGCAGCTATCCCTGGACCCTGGCATAGCAGGCACCCCCAGACCCCTGACCCTGGCCTGGCAGGCACATGTCCCCATGGCTTTGTGGCCATGGTCTAGTGGTCACCTCCACAATAGGGCTTTGGGTTTCTAGGGCTATGGTGTAGGGCTTTCTTCCCTCTCTCTGCTACCAGGCCTCAAGTGCCACTCTGATTTTTGCCTTGGGTTGGCTGAGCAGAGGCGCTGGGGTGCCAGCTAGGCCTGGGTCTGTTCCTTCCAGGGTAGGAGCACTGTGTGCAGCCTCAGGGCTATCCTCGTCCTTGTCTTTGTCCTGTCCTCATCTTCAGCTGGCTGGGTGCTGTCCCAGCAGACTATGTACAGGACTTAGCACATGCAGGAAGGTGGGAACACTGAGGAAAAAGGCACATGTTCGGCATTGCTGTTGCCGTCCCTGGAGGCCCTTGGGCAGCCCCACCTGGGGACCCCCAACCTGGGGTCCATGCCCCTGACGTGGAGACTGTGAGACTGGCCTGACAGTGCCCTCCTGCCCCTGTCTAAAGAGTCAGGGCCCAGCCCTGAGAGTCTGTGGGGCTTGAGAGCTGTGCCTGTGGCAAGGGTGGCTGGCGAGGGTCAGTGCCGCCCATGCTTGACCCAGTTCCGGATGGTCCACTTCTGCCCCGAGCACCGCTGCACAACCAGCCGCAGCCCAAAGTTAGCGTCTTTGGACACCTCCACCTCCAGGCAGCGGCCTGTGTCCCGGCTCACAATGGGGCCTCCCTGGGTGGGGAAACCAAGTCAGCTTTGGAGCCAACCCCCTTCCAGAGAGGAATATAGGAGAGGGGTGACCCCAGCCCCTGCACAGCCGAGGACTCAGGCCCCTACTGTGTTTCTGTCCCACATTCCCTGGCAGCCATGCCCGTCCTGCTGCCTGCTCTCTGGGTTAAGCAGGCACCAGTAGCATATCTAGGATCCTTGGCTCCCTCATCTTCCCAAGACATTGGTGGCCTCGCCCCAGCCTGGTAACCCCAATATAGGTTCTGCAGGGTCCCCTGCTGGCCCTCCCCACCTACCCCAAGGCCTCAGACCCCCATGGCCCAGTGAGCAGCAGTGACACCACTCCCTGCATTCAGAAACCTCTACCCCATGGCCAGGGACTGCAGAGACACTCAGACATCACCGGTAGGACTGGGGGGCCCCTGAAGGAGGATAGCAGGGGCAGAAGAGAGCCGAGGGAGGAGACATCTGCTGCCATGGTCCGGACCTGGGGTCGGCACACAGCAGGCAGGCAGGGAGGGAGGGGCCAATTGGGCCTCTGTGTCTCCAGAAGTCAGGGCTGGCATCACCTGGAATCACACCAGACCCAGCCCAAGCCCTGCTGCCCCTGGGCCTGGCAGCCACCGTGTACCAATCCCACTGGTCCCTCACCCATGGCCCAGGGCCCGCCTGACCTGTGTGAAGTCCCAGAGCCTCTGTGTGGGCCGAGCCACATCCTCGCACCTCCGCAGGGCTGGTGTGCGGCCCCGGTTGTCGTCCACCAGACACTTGGAGTCAGGCAGGAAGGCGGTAGAGCCCAGCGGGCCCAGCTGCAGGAGGCCGTCAGCACTGTACCGCACGAGCTGGGGGGACAGCTGCCCTGAGCAGTCTGGGCCCCTGGGGCACCACCGTGGACATGAGGGGACACTGGCCTCATCCCTTGGGGACAGTGGACAGGGTTGGGCAGGGAGGAGAGGAGCCTCTGGGCCAGGCAGAATTCCAGGCCTGAGTAGTCCAGGCCCCAGGCCCAATGCTCAGAAAGTTCTGGAAGGGAAGGGCCCTGCCCAGGTGGCTGAGAGCTCCATGGACAAAGCCCCCAGGACACTGAGTCCACACATGCTAGGATTCAGAGAGACCGGCATGGGGTGGGAGCCCCATGAATCCTGGGGTGTGATGGGACCCTGGGGACCTTTCTCCATGCTGTGAACAGGCCCCAGCTCTAAGCCACCATGGTCCCCTCTGTGCCTGGCCAGTGTCCACATAGTTTGGGACAGGGTTGGGAGCTAAGGGAGGCACAGTGGGGAGGCTGCATGGAGACAGCCACTGTTTTGTGTCACAGCCACACCACAGCCACAGCCTGCACTCCCATCCACCACAAGACGCCCAGGGACACAAGCGCCATCACTGTCCTGGGTCACGGGCACATGGGACAGAAAGAGATTTAGCGAGACCCCTTCCTTAGTTCCTTCCTTCCTTCCTTCCTTCTTCCTCTCTCTCTCTCTCTCTCTCTCTCTCTCTCTCTCTC